AGCAGATCAATTCTGTGATCCTAAATTAATCCTTTTCTATGTCATTTCAATAGTAGGAGGATGCTGCTTATCTTTTCTTAAAAGGAAGTTAGTTCTGCTCTTGCTTCTTGTAGAATAAGGCAGTAACAGTAGGTCAGTCACTGTCACCCTTGCTGTGGAATTCTGACTTAGCTGCAGTGGGGGAGTGGTTGGCTGGGCAATAGCTTCTTCTATGTGCTTGGACATCTGTGGTTGGAAAAAATAAAAGAGGTTGCCATCCTAGAAGATGGGGTCTGTTACTGGAGCCATCTGTGAAGACTAGATGAGGAAAACAAGTGATGCTGTGTTCTTGAAAAAATAAGTGATTTATTAATGCCCTGCTAGTTATCAGTTTAGACTTCAAAGAATCTGTGGATTATGTTGCTGTAGTAAAAGATGCACTTATGATGAAGTTCAGATAAACTGGACATACTGTATGGTTTATTCTCCAACAGTATTGAACAGCTGTGTAGCATGTACCACCACATGTCATAGGTGCCCACTAATAGAAGAGGGTGGCTTGTGTTAGTAGGCTTTGGCTTGAGGTCAGTTCAAATGTACAACGTGGATAAAAGCTCTTATTTTGCTGAGATCCCTTTTTTTTTTTTTTTCTACCTTCTCTAGTCTGTGATAACATGGAGAGGTACAAGTCAGCCAGTCCTTTCCTCTGCATGGATCTCACTTACATCACTGCTTTGTTAAAGGAAGGTTTTGGATTTAGGGACGACACACTCTTACAGGTGAGAAAAACGGTTAAATCCTAAGCTAGCTTCCCAATTTCTTTATCAATCAACATGTGTGACTTTGTTTTTCTGGCTAATTATCTACTGAATGTTTCCAGGGTCGTAACATGTAATTGCTGTCACTTTTGCAACATGGGAATCTAGAGAACTGTCAGAACAACTTCTTTTTCTTTCTCTATAGTTAACAAAGAAAGTGAACAACATAGAGACAAGCTGGACTTTGGGTGCTACCTTTTACCTGCTGCAGTCTCTGGGGATGACCTGTTGACCTGTGGTAGTCCTGTGGACTTCAGCATTTATGAAAGGCTGAGAAAGCAAGTTGAAATCTCCAGGTATGTTGTTCAGCTGGAACTGGTCACAGAGCAGAACATGGACCAAAGATATAAGACAGATCTTCACCCTGGATTGGCATTGTGCCTAATGAGAGTTGACACATTATGATTTATAATTGTGATTGCCATAAGTGATCCAGAATCTGCCTTCTGAAAGTCAAAAGGCCTGAATGCCAACAAAGAATATGCAAGGGGCTCACAACCAGCGTTCACCAGCATGTCTGTTAGAAGCAGAGTACCTGGATGTGGTGGCAGACTATGGACATGTAATTTCCCTTACCCCTTCTATTTTAAAAATATATAACTGAAGTTTGCTTTTGAGATGTTAAATACAGAAATTAAAAATACCATCAACAGTCATTCAAAGAGAAGTGAACAACTCTGGATGCTGCCAACCTCAGTGTTCCAAGTAGCTGGCTGCCCGCTTAGCTAATACATGGCAAGAAGACTCCAGTCTTTCAAAAAGGGCCTGCTATAAGCACACTTTGGGCATGGTTTTGGGAAAGGTGTTAGCTAAAATATAGTAACCTATCAAGCAATTGTTTAAGCAGAACGTGTGCCTGACTGTTCATGCTCCTTTTTTGCTGCCCTTTACAAGTCTGTGCAGCTATACCATACATCTGACTACCAGACTTGGTAAATTGATTCATTTAGCATGTAGTCATAACACATAGTTGTGCTGGCACAACGAGGCAGCAGTGCCAGCTATTCAAACTCCACTGCCAGAAGAAATGCTTGTCACATTACACCCACAAAGAAATTGCAGCCAGATGAAATGGCTGATCTGACAGCTCGCTTTGCTGTGAGAGGCAGTTCTGTTTCTCTGCTCTCAGCAAGGCACTCCCACAGCCTTCTTTCCTCTGCTGTTGGTGCTCTTCAGGTTCTTTGGTGAAGTAATTCATGACACCAAACTTGAGGTAACTCAGCTCACCCAAGAGCCAAGTCCAGCGCTAGCACAAGGGAAGTGGGCTTTGCACAGCGTGGGGACACCTGCTGGGGCAGCGAGCTGTCAGAACACCACAGCCCATTTGGTCAGCTAAGGTGTGGGTTCCCATCTGAAGCTTTGGGTGTCTGGCTCCCTACACTGTCCTTAGGCACCTCCTCTGAACACAGAGCTGCAGTGAAACATGTTCTTTATACAGTTGTTAAATTATGAAAATAGAGAGCAAAATTAGCATCAGAAACAGGGAAAACAAGAACAGAAATGACTTTGCTTTCTTATCCCTTATTTACCCCTTATCCATTTCAAATTGATTTGAACTTCATTTCTCTTTAATTCAATATAGTGGACTTGAACCCATAAAAAGGTGTGTGCTGTGGATTTTAATTTATACAGCAGGTCCTTCAGAGCAGTGCATCCAATGAAGGGGTTACAGCTGTTTAGGAAGCCCAAGACTTCTCTCTATTCCTGCATGAAGCTATTTGAGTAATAATTTAAAGTGAACCTTGCCATCTCTTTCACACCAAACACATAGATGCAATGATAGGCCAATATTTTAAATCATCTTGTCAGAAAGGCTAGAAAGTGGGGCTGTAGGAGTCTAGTTTTCATGTTTAATTGGCTGTAAGGATGATCAAGATTGCTCTAATACCTCAAGGCTTTACCTTGCATTGCATTAAGTAGAAACAGCTGTAGAGACTTTTTCCACTCTGTGAAATAACTGACAGCTTGCTCATCAAAAATTAGTATCTTCTCCCTATGGGGATTTACAGATGAATTTACCCAGCATAACAAAGAGGTACTACTCACATGACTAAGAGAACCTTTTATCCACTGATCTCTTGTGATGAGCACTTTCCTTTTGCGCATTTGCTGTTACCTATTTGCGATAAAATACCTTTCCCGCTTCTGTCAAACCAAAGACTGCCCTTACACCACCTTCTCTGCAAACTGGATTAATTCCCAGCAAGGGGAGGAAGTAGTGCACTCATGTCTTCAATGGTCTTGCCAAGCTGTTTGGAGACAGAAATTTGCCTTACTGTGAAGATTAGCCTTTTTCCTCTAGTTAGCAGTGCAAGTTTGCCTGTGGCTGATTAAGCTACCCCTTCTCATAACTCAGGTTTTATGGCATGAGGGTGCAAGGAATGCTTTTGATTGAACAAGTTCAGTCAGCAACAAGAAGCCAAGGGATGGAGCCACTCATCCCATCACTGACACCTTGCTGTAAATTCAGGCTGTTTTTTTGAAATAGGAAATGCTCATCCTACGTGTGTACTCCTTACCAGAATCTGTTTGAGATTTATGTTGTGAAATTCCTCAGTGTCACAACAACCTTCTGTTCCTTCCTCACTAGGAGCTGCTGTTTGAACATGAAGAAAGTAGTTGTGGCCTCTTCTCAACCATAAACATTTCTTATTCTTCCTTGTGTTTCCTCTGTATATGTTCTCATCTGCACAACAAGGGGACTGCACATGCATTCATTTTTTCTTTTTTCAGTGAACATTTTTGTACTCTTGGAGAATACAAAGTAGTATGCAGTGGTGACTGGCCAGGTTGTGTTATCCTGAGAACTAGATCATTTAATGATCCAAGTCACCTTTCACTCTGAGCCAGTGCTATGACAAACTCTTACTGTATCTCAGGGCTAAGAGCTGAAACAGCGAGGCTGTCGTTCAAACAGGACGGGAAGGGGGGTTGTATGTAAGGAAGAAGCAGCACTGCATCTGCCACCTGAACAGACACTACCACACAGATACAAGGAGCACTTGAGGGTTTGGCTTTGTCCAAAGGGAGGATGAACTAGAAGAAGAGGACCATGCAGAGGAAGTTTCTTTTCTGCATTCTTTGCCTCGGACTCTGGTACTACAAATGCTGCACAGTATCAAAGTTGAATTAAATCTGAATCCTCAGGGCCTTTCTTTTGTCAGTGGCAGAATTCATTAACTGAAGCAAAACTGCTGCTCTCTATCAGGGGCCTTATCCTTCAGTCATGAGAGAAACAAAAACTCTGTTCAAAGGTTTATTTTTGCAAGAAATTGCAGAATTGAGCCCCTGCTGTTTACATCTGAACTACCCAGGTGGGTGGGGGGATTTACAGAAGCCAGTCAAGTCCTCACACTTACCCTAGTGCAGTGAGATTAGCTAAAGACTAAACAGCCTTTTAAGAGAAGAGCTCTACTTGCAGCCCTGATTTTTATCTCCTCCTTTCTAGTGTCTTTGAATCAGCCACTAAACAGGAACTGCCTAATAGGAGTGACTGCAGAAGCACAAATAATGGCTTTCAGTTCAAAATTTGTTTCATTATTTCTGATGTTAATTCCTGATACTGGTCAACCATATGTGTAAATCTTGGTCATGGGCAGTGCTTACTTAATTTTGTGAGTGGCAAATGTCTAATGCGAGAGGCTTGTGTTTGGAATCTCAGACAGAATATCCCAAATTGTCTATTTTAGTAATTAAAGCATTTTTAACAATATGCAAGGTTTGTGGTGCAGTTTTCTTTCCTAGATGTTGTTGTCTTCCATCTTTTCCATGGAGCCCTTAGGACTAGCCCATTCCACAAGAACCACCCATTATTAAATAAAGCAAGAGAAAGGCAGAGAAAAGGGCGAAAGGAGGAGAGAGAGCGAGCTTTAAAATGTATCTGCCACCATGTGTTGTCTCCCTATGCTGAACACTGCCCCTACTTTCTGAGCTGAGGAGGTGCCAAGAACCCAGGAGAGATGTTATAGCTCTAGAAATCACATCAGAGAAAACTGAAAGTAACTAAAGCAGCAAAAGCTGTAGCTGGCAAAGTTCAGCACAAAACAGACAGCTGTTTTCACCTCAGTCTTCAATTCAAGAGGCCCAAATTAAATGTACATTGTACATTTAGTTCTGTGGCTGAAGACATCATGGTACTATGGGAAGAAACCCTAAATCCTCTTGAGGAGCGCAGATGAGACAGAGTTTTTGCATAAACCAGTGGATGTAACGCACAGCTCAATCCCTCAGTTTTATTGTTAAATTATAAAATAACACAATTCAGTGATTCAAGTCAGTCACAGTCCTTTTAAGGGCAATGCATTCACGGGCAAGCTGTTCCAGACTGACAACAGATCACTTGCTGGCAAAAGCCATGATTTGCTCCTAAAAGAGAAGAAATTAATAAACCCAATAAGCATGTGTTCTAAAAAACAGCTCTAGGTGCCTTCCCTTCTACATGGACAACAGTTCTTGGCCAGTGTTTCTAGCCAAGTGCAGAGCACCTATCCCTGTTTGCTAGAAAATTAGAGATTTCCTTTCCCTCCCAAGTAGCACACTAGAGGTGTTACCAACAGGTTCTGCGGTCAGAGAAAAGGTCTTCATTTGTTTTTTTTGCTTTAAACAGAGAAAGAGAAAAAACAATTCCAGGTACTGAAGCAGCTACATCGTCTTCCTTAATAAAGACCATGCCAGTGGCAGCTGCTCTGCCTTAGGAACATATTCCTTTTCTACTTGGGTAGTGTCTCAACTGTGACACAAAGGAAACAGGGCATCTGTATTTATCAGGAAGATGATTTGTGGAACAAAAATTAAAATTCAGTAATGACGAATCAATGTACTGGTGCTTGGGAGCTTTGTGAGCAAAAGGCTTAAGGAACTTCACAAAAATCCAGCAACGATATCAAGATGGTGAGGAATTTAGGCAGATATACTGCAAACAGAGGGTCTGTGTTTAAGACAGAACCTCCTCACCACTGCCTTCCTCGAGTAATTTCCATCATAGAGGTTTGCACTTCTGCCACAAGGGAACAATTTCACGAGGCAAACCAGCCCAGAAACGGGTCAGTCTGAGCTGCACACTGCATCTGTGATGTCTTAGTGAAAATGTGTCTTCAGAGGGCTGTTTTTTAGTGTGCATTGGTGGAATGCTGGTTCAACATTTCAATTCCATAGATACAGGTCATATATATAGATATAAATAAAGCCAAAGACTTATGATAACCTCTAACCCCGGTTACTCATACAGAATATAGGCACTTATATCCCTTGTGCTGCAAGAAAACAGTCACTACTGAGCCATCAGTTATTTGGGAACTCCTTGGCTCATTCAGGACACAAACCCCCCAGTTTGAACAAGTAGCATTTTTCCAACGAAAAATGTTTCATTTAAAACAAACAAAAATCTTTACAGCTTGTGCATATTTCACAAATAGTTTTGGACAATCCCTACAGCCCTCCCTAAAGCGAGATCCTTACTTTGACAGGAGGCAGGGCATTCGTTGCTTGCAATCCCCATGTCCTCAGCAACACCAGGGGAGCCAGCCTTGTGGAGTAGAGCCTCTTTAGCAAATCAGTAGCAGCTATCAAGGAGACATTGTGCCTCTGACGTTCTGTTTCAAACTTCAGGAGATGTTTTAAGGAGCCTGGAAAAGATAAGTGAATGCTTCTATTAAACCTGATGCACCACAAACAATTGTGCATCTTATCTATATAGCAATCTCCCCTGGCAACAGAAAGAGAACAAAGAATTGATCCATCAATAAAGACTCCTTCTGCCAGCTAGTGCTCTTCATCTCACCATCTCTTTAATTATCATGTGGTAGAACTTTACTTTTTTTAAAGAAGCTTTGAAATTTGTGGGATGGAAACTGCATCCAAGAATCTTAAACTGCTCCACAACCAATGGACATCAGAACAGTTTTGCTGCAACAAACCTTGTGCCTTCCAAACACAAGACAGCAACATCCTGCAACAGAGGTAATGCTTGTCCTGCTGTCAGCAGCAAAGGCCTGTAAGACAAATCTTACTGACACTCCATTGTCTTGGATCCTTACCCAGATCACTCCCGTTGAAGGCTGCTGCACTGAGGTGATGAGCTAAACATGCAATATCACCAAAGCCCAGGTTTACACCTTGTCCTGCAAGTGGGTGGACTCTGTGTGCTGCATCCCTGGAGCAAGATAAGACACATTTATTTCCCTTCTTGAAGAAAGCCATAATGACTGAAAAACCCCAGAAGGGATCAGTGTAGCACTCCTCACCTCTGCAGTGAACACCACCTTACAGTCTGATTTTTCCAGTACCTCTCCTTGCATGCTATGCTGAACTACCTGACTGCCTCTCCAGTTGTAAGAAGCAAGACAAAGGGGAGATAACAAAAAGCAGTTCTGAAAGGAAAAATTATAAAGAGGTGACTAGCCAAAGTCCTCTCTCAGATTGAGTGTGGAACAGGCCTTAAGGTTTTTGTAAGTGATCTCAGCACAACAGGAGGTCTATCAATGGCACATTGCACAAACACAAAGTGGACAGAGGTCATGAATATAATGGAGAAGGGGGATATCATTGAATAGAAACAAAACCAGGTTCTTTTATAAGCAGACTTATCTCTAAAGGACAAAGCCAGACATATTGATAAGGGAGTCATAAAGTTAGAGAAATTAAATGAAGTGTGGGTATGAAATGCAAGATCATGTATGTACTTTACCAAGCTGTAAAGCACAGAGTGCTTCCAAGCACAGAGTGGTTCACAGGTTGGAAAGATGAAAAGTACACTCTGAAGTGTAGTACAGTATCCAAGCATTACTAAATGCTACCACCATATTGCAGCTGTGGCAGAGAAAAAAATACATGCAACCTTAGAATGTAAAAAATTAGACATTTTCCTATTTCAACAGGGCACCATACAAAAGCCTGTGACATCCCACATGGAATAATTTGTAAGGAAGGTGAGTTTAAAACTCAAACTGGTGCACAGAATGGCTGCTACAGTGCTTGGGGAAGTACAGGTCCAGCATGAGGTACTGGATTGTTTCATCAGACTATACAAACTAGAAACAGGAAATAATTATCTTGCAATTTACATACATAATGGACACTCATGCAAAAGGACACTCATGCAAAAGGACACAAGGGCACACAGTACAAACTGGGCCTGGATAAAGTCAAACTGAAATGATATATTATTTCTAACCATCTGATTTGTTGACTAGGAGTCGCTATCCTTGCATCATTTCTAACCACATGCCACCCACTCACCCAAGGGCCACCACTGGGTTTCTTACCCAATAAGAGCCACGCGATGCTGGACATACTCTGTTGCGTGCCCCATTCCAAGAGGGAACATGGCTCGGCTCTCTGGATCTACTTTAGCAACACTTGGGGGCAGCTGACGGACTGCAGTCCCTGAGGGCTTCAGGAGTGAAATAGCAGATCGAAACATGGCCCCAGCAGTGTCAATGAAGTCAGAGTGGTTTATGTTGCTCCACTGAAAAAGACAAACAAGACCTTTAAAAGAATCCAGCTGAAAAAAAAAATCAGAATCATTTCCAAATACTGAATTTTAACCACTTGGACAAAACCTGTACACTAGAAAAACTATCTTTATCGTTTTAGGACATAAAAATTTTCAACTAGGATGAGCCTACCTTCTTACCTTTGGAAATTTAGGTCAACTTCAGTGACTTTCCAAACTAAACTAATTCAGTCCCAAGGGGTCATCCATTATTTGCCAAGTGCCTTTTTAATATCATCCTCACCAGAGGAAGGAACTTTAGAATCCACCTCTCCCATTACCATCACTTCAAGCTACAGGGTTCCACTCTGTTTCTTAAAGCCTCATACCTGCCATGAGGCTGATACTCACAAAGGCAGAGTTGATGCTATCCACAAAACTTTCCTCATCCATAGCAAGAAGTTCCGATGCATGTTCATGAGATGTAGACCAGACCAGAGAGCTGGCAGTATCAGACAGCTAATTTAAGAGAATGTCAAGGGGAAATATCAAGAGAAAAAGAAGCAAAAATAAATGTTCAGTACAAAGATTTTCCCACTGCCCTGCCCCACACCAGTCTCTCTGCAAATTACTCTTCCAGCCCAACTTACTACAAGTGGGAAATACCAAGGATAAAGTGAGAGGGCAGGAGGGGAAAACATGCAATAAGTGAAGAGTGAAGGGCAGATGCACAAATTTTTAAAAGACAGAACTAATGGAGAAAGACGCAGGCAAAAATAAAGTTACCAGAAAGAACAGATTACAAAACTTCTAAAAATATTTGAAGAAATTACAGAGACCACGAGTCACCTTACCGGAAGAAGTGCAATTGGCCCACTGGGAAGGAACCTCTGCCACGCTACATTGTTGTCTGTGGCCTACAGTGGAAAGAAGCCAGTGGAGAGCTTTGAATTAGTGACCTGGAGCACCCTGATCAAGCTGTTCTGCTGCCTATGGAAGAGTCAGTTAGCAGAATTTTACCTCAGATAAATGGAGAGTTGCCACCACAGCTGATTGGTCATACTGATGCTCAATGTTCTTAATTCCAGCTTCCCTCCGGACTACAGAGTTATGACCATCTGCACCAATCTGTAAAACAGATACAAAGCAACTTCTTTAGCTCCTATAAAGCCAATATCTCACTACAAACCTCAGCCTGCATGTACCCATTTCCTGTTCACTCACACAAAAAAAAAAAAACAACTGCCCAAAACCCAGAGAATGTAGCCCCTTCTGCTCTTGTCCAGTTCAGCAGTCTCCTTGCCCTGGGTACAGAAAAGGCTATCCACTGTGTCCCATAGCATCTCTGACAGAGTTAGCCACTCACCTCACTCAAGCACTTTATGTGGGTGCAGCGGCACACATGGAATCAGAACCAAATCCAGTGGAAAGGACTTGGGTTAGAGATGCTGCCTGATCAACAGAAATAAAGAGCTTAGTTACCAGCAGCTTGGTCTGAAGTCTGCGTCCATCAGCTAACTCAATTTGGACCCAAGGGCTTGTGTCACAGCTGTGGGAGGGAAGGGGCCACGTATACCCAACTGCTCTGCTCCTGTAGAAAACCTCCACCCGGTCTGATGGGAACACAAAGTGCCATGGTCACAGCATGATACAGACAGGAAAAAAGGAAACACTGCTACAACAGCAAAGGTCACACGTATTTTAACAGCACTGTAGGAGCTGACCCTACAATTCTCAAGACACTCTGAAAGAACAGATCTGAACAACCCCTTGTCACTGCAAGGCCTGCTTTGGACAAGGATCTACAGATCTTTTAATTAAGTCTATTTTTGGGAGACCACATTCTGGAGAATTACATATGCAACTGCTTTCTTGCTGTGTAGCCTTTGGAAGACAAACTTCTCCCTTCCCCCCCAGTTCAAGAAGCTGCCAAAATCTCAAGAATTGCTTGTTAGATGAATTTCTCCCTCTCAGAACTTAGTGCACACAACAGAAGGCAAGTAACTGAAAGCTCTATGCAGGAAATAAAATAATCAAGAAGTTGTCAGTACCTGCTACTGCATCTAACTGTTTTGTGAGAGCAGACATAATGACATCATTCTCCACTATGTAACCCATGTCATCTAAGTCATCTTTCTCAAAAACAATCATGGCTTCAGAACAAGCATCCCACACCTACAAAGAAAAAATACATTACATGAAGTTGCAAAGAAGTGCTGTCCCTGTCAGAGACTTAACAACAAAAGGACATGGTAATTGAGAAATACAGAACTAGAGGAAACATCCTGGATTACTGTCCATTCCTTCATTCTCAGCTGCTAAAGTGCACTACGTAATTCCTGTCATTAAATGATTTAGCATCAGCTCAAAACGTAATTGCAAATCAAGTTTTTATCCCTACTTTCCTGTTACATAAGTAACATATAAAGCTACCCTACCACCTTGCTGTGGGTTAAACCCAGCAGGCAGCTCAGCCCCATGCAGCTGCATGCTCATTCCCCCACATGGGACGGGGAAGACAACTAGAAGGGTAATAGTGCAAAAACAAAACTCATGGGTTGTGGTAAAGGCAGTTTAATAGGAAAAGCAAAAGTTGCATGTGCAAGCAAAGCAAAACGAGGGATTCATTCACCCTTTCCCATGGGCAGGCAGGTTTTCAGCCATCCCCAGGAAAGCAGGGCCCGGTCATGTATAACAGTTACTTGGGAAGACAAGTCCCATCACTCCGAACTTCCTTCCTCCTTCATTTTCCTCAGCTTTTACTGCTGGAGCATTACACTGTATGGTATGGAATATCCCTGTGTGCAGCTGGGGTCAGCTGTCACATCTGAGTCCCCTCCCAGCTCCTTGTGCACCCCCAGCCTGCTCACTGGTGGGGCAGTGTGAGAAACAGACACAGCACTGGCACCATGTAAGCAAAAGCTGAAACATCCCTGTGTTATCAACGGTTTTCATCACAAATCCAAAACACAGCCCCATACCAGCTACTATAAAGAAAACTAACTCTATCCCAGCCAAAACCAATACACACCTTTACCTTTATTTTCCAGCTAGTACCCATACTGCAGTATCGACAGGTTCCACTAGGAATACACCTTTCAGCCTGTAACACCAGGACCCTGAGGACAAGTATTTCTGAGTAAACTGCTACCCACAAAAAAGGAACAGGAAGGAATGTAAGCATGGCCTGCCCTTGGCCCAAGAAAGAAAAACCTTTGTAGCATTGATGTAAGTACTTTGGAGAATTCAGAGTAGACAAACACACAGTGTATTTGCAGCCCTAAGTCAGGCACCTGCATTCGCCGGAATGGTTTGTGTCTCAGGCTGCAGACATGATCCCAGGCACCAAAACCTGAAAAGGGACACAGATGAATGGAGACACAGGCTCAAATGTGACACTGAGACCAAAACAAAACTGAAACTCAGTCCACACTCTCCTCTACCCTTCCTGATTATCAGTGCTTGGGGTCAGCTTGCACCATCCCTCAGCAGAGCCAGGTCTGCCTCAGAGCTGTCACACCTCCAGCATCACATGGTTTTACTGATAACACAAGCCAGCAGGAAGAAACAAGAGCTCTCCATAAACGTCTGACCTAGCAGACAACTCTCATTGTCCCATCACTGGGTAATAACACAGACAAAGAAAAGCAGCACCATCATTGTTTAGAACATTTCTTTTCTCATAAGGAATCAAGGTTCAAACCTCTCTTTAAAAGGACAATTACACCTCATTAATTGAGGACTAAGTTACCAGACTACAAAGCACTGAGAAGATGCTTCTTTTGTGAAGAGAACATTACAGGTGCTGTGGAGAGCACCTTGCAACCTTTCACTGGCCTAATGTCACAAATATTTATATAACAATAAATCAGACCAAGATCCAGAAGACAGATCCCTATTATCAAGAGAAGTCTGATTCAATCACCACAGCTCAGCATACAGAATACTAAGAGAAAAAGGTGAATAATTCTATTGAGTTTAGGATGAAGGCAGCATGTGCTCAAAGGGGTTTTGTTTAAACAAAATAAAACCAGCTCAAATATAGATGTTATAAATGCAAACAATAAAATCACACTTACTGCTTAGGAGGGTTGCTGATCCTGGGGAGATGGAACTGACCCTGTTACTGTAACTATCTGGCATGTGATCATATTCTTTCCTGGGACCAGCCTCCAGCAAAGCAATCTTCTTATCATGGAAGTGGATATCATGCCCTAAAATAAGGAAATACATGCTTTGTTACTGCACTCCTGCCAAAAATCTCATTACTGAGATGGACAAACCTTCTGCAGTTAAAGCAAGGATTACGTATTTTTTATTTTATTTAAAGTTTGCCTTTATGTACAAATTTGTGCCATTTTGTTATGAAAATTCATTACTGGAGTATTAACAAGTGAAACCTGCAATGTTTATGGCATGCACCAAACACATTTTCCAGAGTTTAAACATAAATTCACCTTTTAGAACAAGAGATCAAAATAAAACTTCTTTGATATGTAGCAATTACACTAATGTTTTCTTACTTTAATGTCCTTATATTCTGACAATGGAAGGCAGTCTAGACTTTACCTTTCAGTTAAAGAGAACTCAATAAAAATGAAGAGATGCCTCAAGTAAATCACTGCAGCTGAGCTGGCCATGCTGGCTGCATGGAACTACTACAGATGCAGAAGGTACTGAGGACAGAAATGGTATCCCTGCAACATCCAGAGTTTGCTACTACAGCAGCCCTAAAGACAGCGTATCCTGGACATATTTTCTAGATTGTGCACAACAATAACCTCTCTGGAAAGGTCCCAAACTTGTGTGTCAGCCTTAGATATCCCTGCTGGAGGGGATCCTTATGCTATCTCCGTTCCATGTGGTCTTACTTAACAATACAAGCAGAACAATCAGTTTGCAAGGTAAACCCTTATACTTGAAAAACACTTATTACTCAGGATCTTTGCCTCTTCTTTGCACTATTTTGTTGAGGCTTCTGTCACTGCTGCATTCTTCTGAATCCATGTTGCAAATACAGAAGCAGTCAGTAATCTCAGGATCTCTAGTAATACAAACCAAGCACAAATCCACCTTATCTTGGTATCGTAGTATTTAAAATACAGGGTTAGAGAAGGAAACTTGGGATCAGAAAATGACTGTTAAAGAGATGGAGCACATCTCCTAACAGGACAAGCTGAGAGAATTGGGTTTGTTCAGCCTGAAAAAGAGACAAGTTAGGGGTGACCTAACTGGGATCTTCCAGTACCTGAAGGAAGCCTGCAGAAAAGACGAATGGGGACTTTTTACAAGGATATCTAGCGACTGGACAAGGGGGAATGGTTCAAACTGAAAGAGGGTAGGTTTAGATTACATAATAGGAGGAAGTTCTTTGACGTGAGGGTAGTGAGGCACTGCAACAGGTTGCCCAAAGAATCTGTGGCTGCCTCATCCCTGGAAGTGTTCAAGGCCAGGTTGGATGGGACCCTGAGCAACCTGATCTAGTGGAAGGTGTCCCTGCCCATGGCAGGGGAGTTGGAAATAGATGATCTTTAACGTTCCTTCCAACCCTAACCACTCTACGACCAGAAAACATTTTCAGCTACGGCTGAAGTGATCCATCGGCTATTTAAGGGTGACCATGATTGACAGAAACACCGCAAGCAGTCTGCAGAATTCAAAGCAATGGCTCCATTAGCAGAAATGCACATACATGGATGGGCCAAGGTTCACCACAGATCATGTCACCAAACAGCTTTAAGTCAACTTTAGAGCACAGGAAGATCCCACAGCGGGATCCTGAACACTAAGATCCTAAATGGCAACCAGAGTTATCTCACACTGCGGGCGAGAAGGTCACAGCCTTACCCAGGGCGGCGGCCATGGCGCTTCCGACCATACCCCCACCCGACACCACCACATCGTAGAGCGGCTGTGAAGGGGCGGCGGCGGCAGCGTGGAACGGGGCGTGGGGCCCGGGCCGGTGCCGCAGCCGCGCCCAGAGCGGGCCCAGCGGGGGCAGCAGTGCCCGCCCGCCCGCGGCCGCCATCGCCGCGGAACTGACGGCAAGCGGAAGTCGCCACTCGAAACCAAGGCAACGCCTGCCACGCGCGGGCGGCCTTGTGTCTGATTGGCTATTTCAGGCCGACGGGGCGGGCCTAAGCGCCGCTGGCAGCGCTGATTGGTGGAGACCGGGAGAGGTGTGGCGGAGGGCTGAGGCGGTGGCCCGGCCTGCAGGTGAGGGCAGGGAGAGGTTGGGGTTGCACCCCCGGAACGAGCACTTCCCGATTTATCCAATTTCTTCCAGGTGACACGACACCCCCGCCCGGCTGTAATACGCCGACTCCTCCGATTCTCATCGCCGGGCGAGGAGCTGGGAGCAGCCTCTCAGGATGGGAGGCCGGCGGTCTCCGTTAGAACCGGGCGCGCCGTGCCAGGCAGAGTTATGGGGTGACCTCGGGGTGCTCGAAGAGGATGAGGAGCTGGAGGGTTTCAGGCGGGAGGCGGAAATTCTGCGTGAGAAGCTGAGGGAGGCTCTCAGGTAGGATGGTGCCTGGTAAGGATGGCAGGATGGCATGCAGGATTCCTGCTGCTTCTGGCCAGGGACAAGGCAACGCATGAAGTCCCGAAATACACGTGTGTAGTGCCAAAACAATGTCCACGAGTGTATTCACAGATGGGAGGATAGGGTCAACACGTGCCCACGTAAGCAGCATTCACATAAAACAGCACAAATCCCCTTCCTACTCATCAATCATGCTGAAAATCTGCCAGCAGATCACACACCTTTCTGCCCAGCATCCACTCTTCAGACCTGTAGTCTTTCCAGCACTGAGCTCCCAGATGTCTTTCCCTGTGGTTAGTCTAGTTTGACATTCACTAGCAGACCACACATGCATGCTCTTAGAAGGAAAATAGTTTATAAAGAAGGAGAGACTTCAGCAATCACAGGGCAAGTATATTAACCAGGAGCATGTTTGCAGGTGATCTGCACCATCTGTTTCGCCTCTTTTTTTTTCCTTTTCCTGTTCTTGGTCCACTCTGATTCACCTTGATCCTTCATTTTGTCTGCATTTATTACTTGCCTGAAATCTCCTAGGTTTTACTCACTTTCACAATTACCCTCAAACATCCTGTGAGAAGTTTGCTGTTTTAATGAGAACTGGGATAATCTTGAGTGGGGTTTTTTGCTTTTTATCAGTTATATGGTCATCTTCTCTGCTACACAGTTGCCAACTGAACCTCTTAAGAGTTGCACTAAAGCAATTTCTTGTAATGACCTTCCCATCAGCATCTCAGGAATGCTGTGTGCACCTGTGTGCACAAATTGCGTGTGCAAAAGTTGGAACTTCCTGGTTCACTTGTGGCCCTTGTGGCAGTACAGTGCTAGCAGTGTAATAAATTGCATGACAAAGCTAAGCAGCTGTAACTGCCACTTTATATGTAGAGAACATGTAACAGGCGAAGCTCTGCTCATGAACTTTGGTAGCAAAGCAAAACATGGAGCCTGAGAATGACAAACCCTAGGACCGTCTTCTAACAAGCAGCTCAGCCTATGGTGTCTTTCTCTTAATCAACAGTGTCTCCCTTCTTTTAACTCTTATTTTTTAATAATTTCACTTATTTCCCCTTCATAATGTCTTTGTCTTAGTCAAACATCTGGTAACAAAAGGCAGTCCAGTTCTTTGACCGACCTCACCTCGGACAGTACCTGGGATCAGCAAAAGCCTCACTTATTTCCTAAATCTCGCTTGAGGCCAAAAAGTGCTTCATCTCCCTGGATTCCTTCCATCACCATCCCTCAGCCTTTCAAAATGACACTGCGGGAAGCTCGCAAAAAGTCCGAGTTGATGAAGTCATACATGTTTCTTGAACTAGACAAACAGAGAGACAAAAGGCCAAGCCAGGATGAAGCCGAATGTCAGAAACAATTCCGGGCACAGCCTGTACCTGCCCATGTGTTTCTGCCCCTTTATCAGGAAATAATGGAGCAGAATGAGATTCGCAGGCAAACAGCAACACAGAAAAGAAAGGAGCTGCTACTTTCAACACAGCGGCCCTTCAGTTTCCTGGAGAAGGAGGAGAAAAAGAAAGAAGCTATCAGACAAAAATTCCTGTCAGCAGCAACCCCAAATGAGAGCTCCAAACAGAAGCAAGACAGTAAAAAAGTTCCTAAATCTACTTATCACCCACTTCTTGGAAATAAACTCAAAGGTAACATGCCAGGGCTCTTTCTCTAAAGCACCTCCCTACCTGTCCCTCGCCGTCTCCATGCTGGGAGGTAAGATCACAGCCCATAGGGTATTACTTGAAGCATAAGGCCAGTGTCATTACATCCCCTGGTGTTGTCTGGTCTCCTGTGTGTCACTGGTTATCACATTTTGTCTAGATACGCTTACAGCAGAGTGTCCTAAGTTTAGTAGAAACAGCAGCAACAGTTCTGTTCCACTTCCCAGCAAACATGGGCACATTGAGATCTTCAGACAGATTTCCCTTTTGCTGCAAATCATGATAGTTTGGGAACCCTTCCCTGCACTGAATTCCTTACCTTTGGTCACACTAAAGGGGCTGAGATGATTTGTGGCACAAACATGAAGACAGCCGTAGTGCCGTAAGTGTCCAAGGTCCATGCGGTATCTTGCATCTGACCATTACTCGCACCCAAGTGCGAGAAAAGAAATGAATGTTTCATATCTCAGTCAATGAAAACCTTTAACTAGACTTAAAAATGTCATATTTTGTAAAGAGCAATATTGATTTTTTTTCTATAAAGTCTAAAAGTTTCTAAAAGCAAAAAACCAACCTCCAGACAACTGTTTCCATTTTCACAAATATTTAGTGTTGCACAAGAAATTACTTCAGTTTGATGCTATACTCTGAAACACATTCTTTCTGTGGAAAGTTTGTCTCAGAAGTCACAAGACATGGTCTATCCATCAAATGTTTCTCACTTAAAATCTTTCCCAATATAGACAATTTCTGGTGGATATTACATAGATAAGCTGTCATCCATAACAAGTTTATTTAAACAGCCCATGTGGACCACATCATCAAGATAATGACATAAAGTCCCATATGAAAAGCAGACCCTTGATTAACACTTCTGTAAGACAAAGGGGCACAAGTTACCTGGTACCCCAGAGAACAGGAGAAGATCTGTTCAATAACTTGCTTCAGTAATTGAAACACACATCTAGAAATTAATGCCTAAGAAAGAGACCCTGCCACGTTTTTTTCTGGTATCTTTGAATTATTTTTCCCTGGGAGACAGAGGAGAGAAGGGCTGAAAATTAGGGAAAGAGAGCACAGGATATCTGGTCTCTCCTGTATGTGAGCTGCCATCATAAAGGAAAGTTTAGACTTGGGCAGTGGCAATTTCACAGGCTTTTACCTCATTCATACTCTTTTCATTGCTTTCCTTTTGATTCACTAGAAGCTGAACTCTGCAGAGAAATCCGCATTCAAATGAGAGCAAAGGATTTGCTCGAGAGTTCGGTGGCTCCAATAGACACCAGCAACCGTCGGAGGGAGCCTCAGTCCCGAACTGCCACCAGAGCCAAGCAGGAAAGGCTTGGCTTCTTGCAGGACAAGAGTTTCAGCTTCAAGCCAAGGATTAATCCAACAATACCAGATTTTGATGAACTTTACTGGGCATTTCAGAAGGAAGCAGTAAGGAGAAAAGAAATCAAAGAGCCAACTCGTAATAAGCCATTCAAGCTAAGAACCTCCAATCTCCATGCCAGGCAGAGGCAGGCTAATGAAAAGATAAAGGTGAGATAGCTGGATATTTCTGTGGTACTGCTTTCTCTTGATCAAGAGTTGATCAAGCTGCTATAATTAAATGCTATAAATTTAAGAAGTTGATATCTTGATCAAGAGTTTATAGCATTTAAGTATGGATGGTTAACATCCCATGACCTCTGCCCTTGTATTGAGAGTACTGCTGAATTCTAGGACAAACCACAAAACAACATTCTACACAAGGGGATGAACTATGACAGATAAGGTTGACCCACCCTTTCATAGCCCTAATCACATCTTCTTTCCCTCACCCCTCAGCCCCTCCACTCTGCTGGGGGAAGAGAGAAGAATGAATGCGTTGCCCACATATTCCAACTGTTCTCTTTGGTAGGCAAAGAACAGAGGAGATTCTGTAGTGTGAACAAATACACTGAATAAAGGTCCATTTTTTTCAGGATTCTCAGAAGCTTTCCAAGGTTTCAATGCAAAGAAGTCATTCCCTGACCAGACTTTCTTCTCTCTCTTCCAATACCCTTCCAGTGCATATTACCGATGCAACTAGAAGAAGGGAATCTGCTATTAGGTAAGTAGGAAGGTTTGTCTGTAAGACCATACACCAACTAATGATCAAAATGGAAGAAAAAACATCAGTATTTTCCCTCATCACATCAACTACATGTTTTCTAAATGTTTCTCTGTCTCCTTTCTTTGCTGAGTCTTGCTCTGTCTCCCAGCTGATTTAGGAGCTGCATACTTGTATGGCTGAAATTTTCCTTTTCTTACTGGAGGACTGCAAAAGTGAAATTTCCAGCTAGCATGTGGTCTGGCAGTCCACAGTGAGCTCATTAGTAACTTTTTTTCCTATATAGACAGTCCCAAGTTAACAAAAAGGAAGGGGACAAAGAAGGAATTAATTGGCAGGAGAAACAGAAAATGAAATGTCAAGCTATGCAGAAGTCGGTGAACAGCCGAGCAAAAGCACTGGATCCTCATAAAAGTCTGGAGGAAACACACAAGGAGAAGTTGAAACAGAACAGGTCAGTATCCTATTCTGCACAGAAATGACTATTTGCTCCACCAACTGTTTTTTGCTCTGTACCCATTCCACATTCATTTGGATTTCTTGACAATGCCACACTATTCCTTCCATACGGGACAGTTTCTTTTAGATTAACATTTGTAGAAACTCATGTTACAATCCAGTCAACTGTAATGTGTAGCTTGGTAAAGCACACTTAAAACAAGGTTTTCTAAAAATGCGAACACAGGTTCCTTGCTTACATTCTCATAGAAGAGCTTTGCTAATGG